GATGCTGGACTACATGGTGGTCACAGGGGGTCTTGCCACTTGCGTCCGTTCGACTCGTCTCGTCCTGGAGAGTGGCGCCGCGACTCGCAAACCCGTGCAAGTTTGTTTCCATCCCAGACTAGCGGGCATGCAGCATCTTACCTTCTCGGAGCCCCCACCCACCCCAGTGGTGCTCCCCATGGGGCCTGTTCCTGAGGCTCCATCCTGGGACGCCGCCCTGCATTGCGCTCGGCATAGGCCCGAGATGGTTCGCAATGGGGTTCCCAAGGCCAAGGTGCAGCGATACCTGAATCTCGCGTGCAAGCAGCGGGCCAAACTTGCGGAGTTCGGTTCGAGGTTTGCCGGCCCCGTCAGTTCGAGGTCCAGTCACAGGAAGTAGGGGTCGGCTGCCCAAGTTGGTCTGGGAACCCGCCATAGGACTAGACGGGGGGAAGGGGATCCAACAGCCGATCTTGCACTCGCTGCGCTGGCTCTGGAGCACTTTCCACTTTTGCGCCAGCTTGCAGCAGGAGTGGCGACAGCATGCGTGCCGGGAGGGCCCTCCTCAGCGCGCTGAAGGAGCTGCTTCTGCACGGCTGCCGCGCTTCATTTATTTTGAAGGGCCAAGCTCCGCCGGCGCCTGTCCTGCGGGAGGGGGTGGGCAGGGCCATCGCGCTTTTGTCTGCTCTGCCGAGGGCCCAGCACTCACGCCAGCGCGCTCTTCCGTGCTCTCTGGAGAAGCCAGCGAACTTCCAGCTCGGTTGAGCCGCCGGGAGAGGATCCCGGCCGCGCACGCCCAGACGCGAAGGGCTCAACGGCCCCCCTACAGCTCCGAGGTGTTCGAGGCGTCCTTGGGGGCCCACCCGCGGGGATCAGCGGGCACCTCCAAGGGGGCGTCATGGGGCTGTGTGACGGGGTGAAGGATGACATCGAGTTTTCGGATGATTTCACAGTCGTCGGGAATCCAGAGGCCGACGGCGATCTAGATGCAGGCTGCGAGCTAATATTTCTGAGGGGCCAGGCGCGTACTCCTTGAAGGCCAAGGGTGAGCCATATAGAGGCTGGAAGGATCGGCAACTCAAAGGTGTTCAGAAGGGGGCTGGGAGAGCCCGCGAGTGGGCGCGTCTGCCTAAGGAATGTGCCCCTCCGAGCACCCTCTCAGGTTCTGGAGCGGCGCTGGCGGATCCCAAGTCGGCCCTCAGCAGCGAAGCCATGAAGTTCTGCAAGCTTGGGAAGGGCAGCTCGGAGGGGCAGGTAGACGGCCAGACGGGCGATACCCAGCCGCCCGAGTTCCTCAGCCGTCAGCACACCAGGGAAGTTGCTCAACAGTGCAAGTCGTCCTCTGGCGTTTCATAAGATGGGTTCCACATGAAGCATCATGCCTCCATGTTAGATGGCGCCCTGCTGGCGGTGGCGACGACGATGGGCATCGCGGAACCTGCGACATTGATGCCCAACCAGGTCCGCACCATATTGGCGCCGCTCTTGGAGAAGCCGGCTGGGGGCTGGCGGCCAAAAGGACTTTCCAGTTTTTTCTGCGGACTCTTGGGCGAGCTCCGTCGCCCACGGGTTACCCGGTGGGAGTCGGACCACCCGCGCTCCTACCTGGTGGCGTGCAAGTTTGCTGGAGCGGCCGACGTTGCATGGCGTCTGGCGGCGACGGCAGAGAGAGCTGTTCGAGCCCAACCAGGAGCCATGGGTCCCAAAACCAAAAACCCCAAAGAAGTTGCTTGCAAAGTGCCTTGGTGCCTTCGCGAATTTAACGAGGCGGTCGACGTGGGCGAACTCGAAAGCAGGGCCGAGTTTGTCAATCCCCCCCCCTCCCCCCAGCTGCCCGGAGACAGCATGGCGGTCTACGAAGGCCCCAGGTGCCCTAGCATGGCCAGCCAAGTGAATGGCCTTCATTTTCGCAGTGAACAGTGTGATAGCTGGCTGTTCGATCGCGACTACGCATGTACCATAGACCAGTAGCTTGGATGCACACATCGAAGTCTGGCATTTCGCCCACAGGCGAAGCCAAGCAGGCGCCTATAGACATCACTAACACTGCTGCGCAGCTCTTCTTGGGCTGGCCTCTGAGATGATGTCAGCTGTTGCGCGGGACAAGGCATCAGTCATGTGCTCGTCGGCCAAGGTAGGGCATGCGGCGCTCGAGGCGCCAGGCAAACATGGAGGAGCTACGCTCGTCGATTCTGCAATCAACCTGGGGATAGACGACGCGGCTCGACGCAGCAGAAGACGCAAAGGTCGAGGCAATACATAGAAAAACAGATGTCGTATTTCCAGACAGCGCACGAAAAGGTCGAAGAGGACCAAGAACGCTTTAGGAGCTCATATTCGGCAAGTTTATGCCAGCGGCCCCTTGGCAGGGCTGGGCTACGGCTCTGAGGTGTACGGAGCATCGGGCTGCGAGTTGAGCGCTTGCAGACGCATTCTTGGCTCGGTGCTTCGACCGTCGGCTGGAATGCGTTCGCTGACGGCTCTTGCAATTCTGCATGGAGATCCGACTCGGCCCGGGGCTGTAGCGCCAGCAGTCAGGCACGCCAAGGGGGCGCATGCCGCGCAAATGAGGCAGCCCTTGTACGCGCATTCGTTTTCGGTTCTGGGAGAAGCTTTGACTTCGGCGTTCGAGGTGCCCGAGACAGAGCTTTCTTGGAAACGCGCGGCGGGGCCTGTGATGGCCTTGAGAGGGCCCAGGTGGTCGACGCCAAGTTTTTGCATCATGGGGGGCGATTTTCAAGAAGACATCATTCTCACGACGTGCTCGCCCGCTTATGTTAAAACCAAGTTGCGCGAGGGGGTCTCGAGGCAGCTAGGGCGTGAAGGTGAAAGACATCTTGGACTCGAAGGTCGCGTTTGTTTCGATATTGCTGCAGGTGCGCGGAGGTCCAAGAAATTGTCGCAATGCGAGAAGGGCTGCATCAAGCCCCTCACGTGCGTGGCGCACTCTGGACGAGGGGCCGCGCGATCGCCCTTGGCTACCAGGTGCCATCGCCTCAGCGCCCACTCTGCGGTCGGTTTGCAGATGGAGACTGGCGCCGATCATGGCAGTGCACAGCCAGCAGCGACGTTCGAGATGAGTTAGTGGACCGGACGATTGTTGAGGCGGCCCTGTCCATAGACCAGAGTAGCACCGAGGGTTTACCGCCGTTCACTAAGGAGGGGTTATTCCAGCACCTTGGTGACTACCTTCCTCGACCAAGGACTTCTGGAGGCATTCTGGTTCAAATCCGCGAAGCAGGCCTCCCAGGGGGGCCGGGCGAAGTCTCGGGGGCCACTTTCATGGGACATGTGCAGGTCACCGGGGTGGAACAGAAGCATCTGGCCAGGGTTGCTGGGCCCGTCAGGGGGCTTCTCCCCCGCGCCCCTCAGGCGGGGGGAGAGATTCCGGGGCCCTGGCCATGGTGGCCAACAACCGGTCGGGGCTTGCAGCAGGTCTTTCTTTTGTAAAAATTCTGCGGAGCTCTAGCGGGAAGGTTTTCTCATGCAAGAGCGCATGTTGGCACGATGATGCTAGTTCAGAACCCTCTTTCGCAGCAGGTTCTGATGGTCAAAGCTGATGCACAGGACGATCCCAGCCTCACACAGCAGCAGCAGTGGGGACAATTCGGCAACGACGCTGCAGACGCTGCCGCCAGATCAGGAGCTGCCTCGCACCCGCAGGGCGACCCAGTGGAGCTGGAGGCGGTGGCGTGGCAGATCAAGGTTTCCCGAGCTGCGTGCATGCTCGCGGCGCGCCTTCTTCCTCTGCGGCCTGCGCTGGACCTCGCGGGATGCCACTTGGTCCCCAGGGAGCCCAGCCAGAGGCCAGAGGCCCTGCCGTCATTGTTACATTCGTGGGTCTGGCACTCCACATACTGGCGTTGCGAAGTGTGTCTTAGGGCGAGGAGACCGTTCAAGTTTTCTGTTTGCGGCAGCGGCGAGAAGCTCCCAGAAGAAGGTTGTTCTGGCCAAGTGCCCGAGACCCTACTTCAGGTGGGGTCCGGGAGGTACAAGCTGCTGAGTTTCGACTGCAGCGACTGGTCCCCCTGATTCATATGCGTCAGGTGCAAGGCAGTCTCAATACTTGGGCCGCTGAGCTTCCTGTGCGGACTTGCCAACCCCCCACGCGCAGCAACCTCGAACGATGGCGATACAGAGCGCTGAAAGGTCGACCCCCGGGGTTCGACGGCGTTGTTATCGAAGCTTCGGTCGACCTCAAGGCTCTGGAGGAGCCCAGTCCCAGCCAGGCCCAGCATAACGAAGGAGTCGTCGACCCATCGTTAGTGTCGTCGTCCTCTGTCAACGGAGCTGGGCCTGGCGAAGTGCCGCAATCTGTTTCTTCTTTTCAGGCTCCACAAAGAGAGCCTGTCGATGGCGTGAAAAAGGGTGAACGATCCCCCCAATGAAGGGGACGGGGCCCCAAGCGTGCAGCAGAGACGGGAGTTCTCGACTTCGGAGGAGGAGGACAACGATCCTCTGCAAGTTGCCCGTGTAAGCCCCGCGGATCCTGGCGACTCCGACTGACTTCTGGTTCCCGGGTGCGCGCGCGGGCCCAGCCCGCTCAGCCATTGCCAGAGTCATTGCCTTGATACAAAAATCCTTTTCTTCCTCCTCCTCCTCCTCCTTCCTTTCCTCCTCCCCCTGCTCCTCCTCCTCCTCCTCCTCCTCTCCTCCTCCCTCCTCCTCTTCCTCCGCCTCCTCCTTCTCCTTCTCCCCCCGTTTCCTCCTCCGCCTCCTCCCCCTCCTCCTCCTCCTCCTTCCTCCTCCCTCCTCCTCCTCCTCCTCCTCCTCCTCCTCCTCCTCCTCCCTCCTATTCCCCGTCCTCCTCCTCTTCCTCCTCCTCCTCCTCCCTCCTCCTCCTCCTCCTCCTCCTCCTCCTCCTCCTCCTCCTCCTCCCCTTCCTCCTCCTCCTTTTCCTCCTCCTCCTCCTCCTCCCTCCTCCTCCTCCTCCTCCTCCTCCTCCTCCTCCTCCTCCTCCCTCCTCCCCTCCTCGCGCCGCCCTTGCGCCTCCTCCTCCTCCTCCTCCTCCTCCTCCTCCTCCTCCTCCTCCTGCTCCCCCCCCACCCCACCCCACGCGCGCTTTTCAGGGGCAGCGAGAGGGTCGACCGAGGTAGAAGGGCGAGGTCGGTTCGGGGAGGGTACACGACAGTGGGGACGCGCATCAAGACACCGAATGTTGTTCGTCTGGATTACCCTGGGTTTCGTTGGTTCGTGCGTTGCGCGGTGTCTTCCCGAGGCCGCTGGAGGAGCCGTTGCGTCCATGGTGCGTTGGGTTCCCCCCCCCCACGTGCATCTCACGCTTGCGGGTTTTCAGGGCTGGGTTTGTTGCGAGTGATTATTGCTGCCGCGCCCGCACTGCACTGTTCTTCGTGTCGTTGGATGTTCTTGCGCATCCTGGGGGAGGGCACCCGTGAACGCTCCCGGCGGAGGGTCTCGTGTCTCGTGTTCTTGAAATATGTTATCTTGTCTTAGGTCCGACTGTAGTGGGGGCATAGGCTCAAGGGGGGGCGCATCGACCCCAAATCGCCCATTAATCGCCGATAGAACTCTGATAGCCCTGCCCCACCCAGAAACGTGCGGATTTGCTGTCGAGGGCATATCGCCTGTCTGTCGGCGATCTATGGCCGATTCCAGGTCGATGTCCCCCCCTGAGCCAGTCCCTATTATCGTTGCCCCTCAGCTTGGCAGCCCCCCGGCCTTCCTCGGTTGAAGGCGGACGCAAGCAAAATGGGGGCGGGTCCGCCGGCGGAAGCGGACGAGAGGCTGCCAGAAGCCGGCGGAAGTAAAAGATGCGCCACAAGAGATGGCAGGTGTTTGGGATGCAGGGTTTCCGGAGTCGGCCAAATAGCTACTCTGGCGACGTGCTTTGCCTGCGATCCAAGAGCACCCCGAGCAGAATCCGCCGTTGAGGAAACCGTGCAGATTCGTGGACACCATCTTGTCGTGTCGCGGCCACGCGTGCAGCAACGCGGCGGAGTCTGGCTAGCGGGAGCAACTAGAGGGCTCAGGAGGGACGATCGTGGGGACACACGCACACGCATACGCACGCACATTGTCCTCGGCGCCCGGATAGGGTGCAATCGACGATCAACGAAGTCATCGTGAACACACACACGAGGTCGGGGATCTACCGCCAGGGTGCTATCTGGACGCGCCATCAGGTGTGGATGGGCGCCCCCGTCGTACATGCCTGAGTTTGGCCCCAAGCAACTCGGAAGCAGTCGTCGGCCATTGGGGCGGAGACTGCTCGTTCTGGCCCCTTGGGGACCCCACGGCGGGACCCTGGGCCCCGCCAGAAGAGCCTGCCGGCATGGTTTGGGTGTCAGTCGTCGGAGTGGACACGCAGGGACCCCTCTGTCTCTACGTAGGCCTCCCAGATGGGGTCCGAGTAGATGGGGTCAGAGGATCGCGACGCATCGCCGATGCATCGGCGATGCGGCTCGATGGGGATTCTGATTTTCTCCGCGCGGGCGTCGCAGTTGCACCGCCGACGTCGCCGACGCGTCGCCAATGCATCGGCGATGCATCGGCGATGCG